TATTGTATTGTATATTTTTTTTTTACCTGCCCACAAGAGAGAATTCAAAGACAACTTTTACATTTATCTTAAATTAAAACTAATGTAATATTACTCTATTAGGAAAAAACAATTTTTAACTTTATTTTGTCTTCACGGTGACAAATACTGTTTCAAACATATGCTATTTTTGTGTTAATTGTAGATTTCGTATTTTAATTTAAATTACCTTACAAAATTTTTTGATTTACAAAAATATGTTTAACTTATTTAATTTTTATCTCATTTAGAATCAATAACTTCAATGAGTATCAAGGAACCCATTACTTTAGTCTGTCCTCGTTTGAAGAAATTTCTTATTTATACTAAATTTTTTTACTATGTGATTTTTTATTGTGGCTCTCATTTATTTTCTCAGCTCTCACTTCACCAATTTTTTTTAACGATACATCAAATGATCACAACGATTATCTAGTTAAATATATTACCCTTAAGAATTGAAAAAAATTCTATTTTATCAATTAAAAAGATACTTTAGCCACATTTTCAATATTAACAATTATAATTATTCATTTCTAATGTTCTGAAAGTATTTATTGTCGAATTAGGTTTGATACGATAATAGGTTTCAACTACAAAATTAAATAATTTTACTTTGAAATTTATTATTTTTTTAACTTTATTTGTGTGTGTTACTGTCAGTCTTTAATATTCCAAATTTTTTAGTAACATTTTGCTATATAAATCATTAATCTAAAAAAAAATTATTTTTAGCTTCACCTGAATTTAACAAAAATTGTTTACAATTATAATCAAATTTCATAATACGCTCAATTGAGTAGATTTTTTTAACAACATTTTGATTGTTTTTTTAGTTAAAGTAAATCATTAAAAACCATTAAATTTTGAATAATTCAATCGTAGAATCTTTTTAAACGCCAAAAGTTACCTAGAAATGATTACTATGATTAGATGTTCTATTACAATGAAAATGCAAAAAAAAATATTGAGCTTTTCTGATAAATTACAGTAAATTATACAATATCCTGAATGCATATTAATCTTAACAATACTATATATTTAATTCTCACTATCTACAGATTTGCATCGAAGCGTTTCTTATGATCATCTATACTTGTCCCAACTATGCCACATCCTCACGTTGCCGCGACGCCAATGTACTACTGTTTTTTTTTATATTGGTTTAATACATAATAAAAATAAATTAATTTTTCTACAAATGTGTTATAATTTAAGACTTAAATATATGTTCGTATTAAATAAGTATAATTTCTAATCAGCAATGGTTCTTTTCCCAAGAATAGTTAACTTTGGACTGAAGGTAGCTGCCACTGATCAGCTGTTGGCAGTAATTCTTTAAGTCAGCGGCTAGTTTCATGGTAATTTTTAGGCATTAAATTAACAGGTTTACCACGTCACGGTCAGTCGATCATAATTACAATTTATTAATTACATCTGACTATTACCAAAAGTTGAATACGACCAATTTCACCCAACGCTGACAAATACACGCCGTCTGGCGGAGTTAGCGGCGAATTTTGTAGTATCGTCAAGGTGTTTGAAAGTATTGGCTGCACTAATGTGAAATTTGCTTAAAACAACATTACGCAATGATACCATTAAAAAGCACCTACTGTGTGTTTCCACTTTGTTAACATTTCCAAGATAATGATTTTAAATACTAGAATTTCATATCGTCCTATGAGTTTTATTACTAAAACGTTAGATCGGATAGATATTTTCCAATAAATATAAAAATTCAGTAACAAAGATTCATAAGACAAATGTATGCGTTCAAACGTTTCGAAATGATGTTCAACCTGCCGCTGAAAAACTTTTCATCGAGATATTTCAATTAGACAATCCAAATAATGATGTTAGTTGTCGTTTGGGTTTCTGTTACTAAAATTTCACTTAAACGTAGTAACACCGAGTCCCATTCACCAATCTCAGCAAAGTATCCAAAAGCCGCGGATTAAATCATTGCAAGAGTTGCACAGTTTGTTTACAGTTCATTAAATGAAAATAAAAAACGCGCAGCTGTCTATTTAAACTTTGTGTGAGCATTTGTTGTTGTTGATTACAGATATTTACATAAGTTAAAAAATAATATTAAGGGGAACGCTCTAACATATTTTCCGTCTTACTTAAATAGCAGAAAACTATATGTTAGCATACATTTTTCTGTAGCTATTCAAATTGGGTATATCAAGGAAATGTTTGTTGTTTATCGTTATAAGCTAAGATTCATTAAAAATACCTAAGTCAGGTTGAATAACTAAGCCACTTATATAGTGTTTCTTTATTTTCAAAACACAGCATATAAATACTCATGCCGACCAAAAAACCTTTTCATCTTCATTCTTTTGATATTATTGACAAAAATATCAAACTGTCAAAACAATTTTTGCAAGTTGTGATTATTAAAAATTGAATACTAGAACGAAAAAATAATTTTACTTAAACAAAATTAAACAACACACTGATTTATATTCGACTATAAACATCTGTTTATCATTACTAGGTAACGCATGACAACTTATAATTTATATTTTTATAATTTAAATAATTGTATTCAATTAAAAGGTTTACAAATATAGAACTTTAAAAAAACTGTATTCATAATGTAAATTTATTTATCATTATAAAATTACATAAAATTAATTTCTTTAATCTCCACAAGTATTTAAGAATTCTATTTTATTATAAAAATGATTTTATAGAAAATAAAATTTACTGATAACATATCAATTAATGAGTGTGATTTTGATTAAAATACTTAAAAAAAACTTAATTGATTTTTATGAATAATCTTAGAAAAATAGTTTGTCTATTGATAAAAAAAAAAATAGCGATTTATTTTTCTTAAAATAACGAGAACAGTAATTTCATTAAAGTTTTATAATTTTCACAATTTTGTTGTCTGTAAAAAATGTATTTTTCATCATATTGAACAATTATAACTAAAGGTATTTAACTTTTATTCTATTGTACGTGATTATTTCAATAAATTTTAAATAATGAATTTTTCGGAATATAAATAAAGTATCTTCCAAATAAAATTCTAGCATATTGTAGTAGTGGTATACTGAGTCTGATTTAAAAAAAGTATAGTTAAGAATTTTTATTCCTAAAGTAACAAAAAAAAATTTTTTTTAAGTTTTTTAAAAATTGATATGACACTACTGAAGTTCATAGTTCTATTTTAGAAGCTATAGAAATGTATGAGTTTAAGAAACCATAGAAAATCATAAATTTATGAACTCATGGAAATATTGAAAATCCATAAGAGTACAGAAGCTGTAGAAAAGTGCATTAATGAAAAGGAGAGGAATGATTTTTGATGTGTGAAGATAACATGACTTTATGAATATGTAATTCTACCAAACATACAATGTTGTGTCTGTACAATGTTATCTGTTGTGCTCAAACTGTTATATCGCCTCGACTATTTAAGAACCGTCTCTATGGCGTGACACTCTGTCTCAATTAAAAATATTTCATCGTTTTAGAGGGCAGCAATTTTTCAATACATAAAGTTATTACTAAAAAAACTCTTAAATAGTAAATTTCCCCCTCCTCGTAATTTTATCTTTGTTGCTTGTGTGTAACTATACTGAAATAAATTTGATTAGGCACTTCGTATGCTGTATTTTTTAATAACTGATATTTTAGTTCGATGATCACAAGCAAAGTTTATATGGTTAATTGAAAGTTGAAACCAAATCCGCCTTTATTAATAACATTTCATTGACATCATCAAACTTAGTCAAGTAATTTGATCCGATTTTTAGTTCAATTGATCTCTAATTAGTTTTGTGAACTCTTCTGGTAGAGTTTAATTTCGTTTAAGAGCAATTGAAAAATAATTTTGATCGGAACTTGTAAGATTCAATTGTTATCGTCCTATTAAATAATTTCTAGCCAAATTCGTTTATATATTAATTATTTGCACGTTATTTATCAAACAACAATAATAAGACTTTTAAAACTATTAAAAATACAGCCTTTGTTATTTTCATTTTATATCATTAAACTGATAAAGTGTGGTGAAATTACGAAAAAATATATATTATTGGAATTTTATTCTCAGAATTTAAATAAGTAAAACAGTTTTAGATTTTATTTTGAGTGTTTTCAACAATTTTACGGTACCAAAATAAAATACTTTGAATTTTATTTATTAAAGTTTTAAATAGTATTATTTATATATTAATTAAAATTTGTTATAACAAAGAATTTGCATAGATATTTTTTTTTTATACGGAATTTAACTAAAATTCTGTTAATCTCTCTTATTAAAATGTTGAATAAATTAAAAAAATATTGACTATACATAAAATATTGAGAACGGTAAAATTTAATTTCTTTGAAAGGTCAAAATAAATATTATTAAAAATATGCATGTGAATTATCTCTATTGGAGTGTCAAAGTGAATAATAATTTATAACATATTTAATCATCAACTAAATAAATGGATTCATATTGCTTGAAGTTTTTATTTGCATTATTATAGAACTTAAAAAAAAAAATGATGTAAATCGAACAAATTCATTTTGTTTTTGTTGTATTTAAAATAATTTTTCTTTAATCACATCGATAGTAACATTTCAGTCGATAATCAAAAGAAAACTTTAAAGTAGATGGAATGTCCATTGTTACCCTTTAGAGGCGTTTCATTCAAGTAAAAGGACGAGATATTCAATTTCTTTTAACACCACTTAGTATTTATAGTATAGTACTTTGTCTAAATAAACGCCATTAGTGGAAGATTTAATGAGAAAAAATAAGACCATTCGCCTTTACTTTATTAACTTAAACATATCAGACGGCTACAAATCTTTTTATTTGAATTCATTTAGACGTCAGGTATTTCGGAAATTCTAGTCGTTTTCCATTTTTTTATAATTTATTTTAAGCTGAATTATATTTTCGTGTAATTATTTGTTTATTTTTCCACAAAAATAAAAAAGAACTGTAACGTTTAAAAGATACAACATTTTTAGATTTTTTTTTTTTTTACTCAGATAATTAATGTTGTTAGTATTTTCTTTGAGTTTTTCGTAGAGAAATGAATTTCTGTTTTCTTAGATGGCTGTAGTATTTTTGTTTATATTTTGTTTGAAATGGGTTGAGTTGGGTAAATAGCATTTTAATGGTTCCTTAAAATAAAAACATTATAAAATGTCAGATTTATCTAATGTCAGAAAAAAATATATTTTATTGATTTTGAATAATTATTACAAATTATGTTGTATCTTATAGTAAACAAAATATAACTGACATGATTTTTCCACTTATTGAAAAAAAAAACAATAAAATTACTTAATATTCTTATTTATACACATATCTTAATATAGATGATATTTAACAGTCAGATAGTTGAACCAATGAAAAAACACAAGGGTTTGTATTATACTGAATCCATTGTTTTGTGCTGTGTTAACAATCATAACAATAACAATAATAAAGTAATTAATTATAATATATATGTACAATAACTATTAATTATTCATTATGTATACAATAGGTAACGCAGGTCGGATATGTCGAATTTCTCTAGACGGGCAAACTCAGTAGGGAAACGATAAAAAAAAAAATTATACCGATAAAATTAAGATATGCGTGATTTTAAGTGTTAAGGCACTGTATCGCACGTTTAAAAGAGAATCGGTATAAAAAAATTCCATCGACTGTTTATATGTTAGATTATGATATTCGCTGAGATATTGAGGAGAAACGATTTTTTCGGATGGGATTTTGTTTTTTTTTTTTTTCGAGTTTCCGAATCTAAATTAGAAACGTTAAAATAATAGGAAAAACAAACATTATGTTTTATTCGATAAGAGATTATTCGTTCGATTTGTTTGTTTACACGGGAAAGACCATCGATAGTTGGTTATTTTTGTCCACGACAATGTAATCCTGCAGAACATTACTGGCTAATAAAAAATAATACAATTATTATAATGACCGTCGATAAGTACGCGTGGCCCGAACAATTAGTACAGTCAATTTTTTTCCTATAAAAGCGCAATTAATTTGCGTACGAGTTAATTTTTGATTAATCGAAAAGCCCAAAATAGATTTAATTTTGTGCATTTTAAATTAAAGGTACTGGCGTCAATCGGCCCGGTCAGAATACAAAATGCTAACTGTCGGCGACCCTTTACTCGCATGTTTATGTATTTACGTATTGTTTAGATAGCAGTGTACAAGGGACTGGACAAACGTATCGACGGCAAAAGGTAATCTTTGCTTGTCCTTTGTCCCATCGGCCGGCCCTTGTGCCGTAAATGACATGTATGAATTCTAAATCCGTTTTGGTCGCCACGAGCCGTACGGAGTACCCTCGAGCTACATTATGTACACGGTACGTTTTGTTTGCGCATTATCTTGCCGGGCCAGTACGCGGAATCGGCAGGGGAATGGGTTTTTCATAAGTGTTTACCAACGGCCCTTTTTTTTTTTTTTTTTTTCCATATTACAACGGTCGGCGAGAAAACCGCTAAACGTGTAATGTTGGCGCGCGTTAATGTTAGCGATAATATTGTTGAAAATAAAAGGCGGGTTCAGTCGAGGAGGCGAGCGCGTCGGTCGAAAGCCGACAAACAAACGCGGAAAACAATAATAATAGTAATTATAATAATCCATCGGGAACGTAACAAATAATGTACACATCGATGTTGTAAAACTCGTGTATGTTTATCTGAACGAAACCGTTTCTTGCGGGAAACGTGTGTAAAACCTATAAATTTGTTATGCAAAAGATCAATTCACACTGCCCTGTTGAAATGTGTTGGTTGCACGTGTAAATAGATGTGCGTGTAGTGTTTACAATATGATTACTAAGACGTTCGGAATTATTTACAAGGGTTCGTCCGGAGAGACGCATAAAAATTATTACGGCGCAATGTACACGGTGAACGAGCTGTGTGGCGTTCCAACCCCTCGGCATAACGAGAGGGTGTACAAACACATCTTATTGCTGTGGTAAGGCGATTCCGACGGTGTATCTAAACGGCAGAGTACTAATTATTGTTCGCGGAAACCGTTTGATCGGCGAGGTCTCCGCACTGTAGAAATGGAATTTTCCTTTCGGAGAGCACAACAATAACGTCTTGTGAATAAGGTCCGCGGGAAAAGACCGTAATGACTGTGAATTCGCCGGGTTAATTGGAAAATCTCTTGAAAAACGATTGATTTTTCGGCATTAGCCGCTCGTAACGAGAGTTTCCATTGGTATTCCCCAGAAATCCAATTATTATTATTATTGTTGTAACCGACGAACAATAATTGCAACACGACAGCGGAACGGTCGAATTTCCCGTTTGATTGAATTATTATCGCGCTGTCGTTCGTCTAATAAATTTATGATTACTATGTTATCATGGCGCCCGTGTGCGTATGTGTGTAAACGTCATCAAAAATATTAATGACGGCGTTAAATTGGTCGTCAACGGTCGGAGGCAACTGCTGAATCAATACTGTGTAAAGCTAACTGTGCCACACACGAGTACACAGTCGTCTTTGCTCTCCGATAAATATTTACTTATCGTGCTGCTCGTCGTTAATTACACACAGCGGCGGAAGCCGAGCAAAACTTTCGCGATTATTCAAAACAGCATAATTGCCGTTGATAACGTTTGTTAATTGCTGTCGATCCGATAGGTACGTCGTAGAGCGCATAATGAAGGTGCGATATGGTGTCATGGCGGTGTCGGTGATGGTTGTGCGTGTCCGTGTAGAAAATTGCTTAGCCGAGATCCGGGACGCCAATCATAATTCTCCATCGTGCCGAATCGCGGTTACTTGAGCCGGCGGCGGCGGCTTGGTTCACGGACGCCGTCGTCAGTCCGTCCGGTGTCGGCAAGTGCACTTGACGATCCACTCGACGTCCACGTACACGCTGTGGATGTAATTGTCGGCTGTTGCCGAAAACGGCCGGTGCACCGGATCCCAGAGATCGTCGCCCACGACTGCTCCGTCCAGCCTGTCGTGCCCTTCCACCGGGCTCTGACACAGGAATTCCACCTTGACCGTGGTGCTCAACTCGGGCGTGCACTTGAGATGCGGCGGACACGCACCGCATCGTTTCGGGTGGAACGTTTTCCGACTACGGCAGTCACCGAATTTCAGCCGGACGGGCGTCATCGATTTAATTGTCGCCTTACATTCGTGACCCTTCTGAAAACGATGAAAAAATAATTAATAAATCATTAGCGTATTTGGAAGTTATTGAAACAGTTAAAAATTTGTAAAAAATCAATAGATCGAAGGCATGCGCGAGTCGTTTGACCAAGTAGTTTTTGGGACGTTTGTGGAAAATATATGGCGCAAACGATAACTTCCATTATATTATTCCAAAATAATAGCGTCGAACGGCCGCGGCATTCATATTATAATATATGTCCACAACCCTTTGGATTTGAAACTTATAAATTTCCACACAACGTTTGCGTACGAACGAATAACGTTATTTACCCGCGTTCGACACAAAAGAGAATGAAAATCGAGTGCTTCTTCGCCAGCACGTTACTTTGATGCAATAAAAGTTGACGATTAGCGAGCGACTATATTTTTTTTAATTAACAAAAGAAGAAAATAACGGAGTAAACTCATTCTGTGGACAATTTCGTTTTGTTACTGTTTTATCAATTTTTCAAAACTATACAGACACTAACTATGTGTTATGAAAACTTTTCAAATTAGATTCAAAGTTATTCTTTTTTCAATTCCGAAGTTGTATTATTTATGAGCTAACATTAAAGTCCGTCTGTTGTAATAATATATTGTAGTGGGCGAGTTACCTTAGAAAGTAATTTTATTTTTAATTCTTAGAGATACAAAAAAATTAGCCAAGGCCGCCAAAGTTCAGTAAAAAAAAGTTTAGTTAGTAGAATAGAAGTGCATTAAAATTTCAAAGGTTTTCTTAAAAAGTTCAAGCTTTTAACACGTATAAATGAAAACATTCTAGACTTTCTTCTAGCGCGCGTCTATTATAAATGAAGACTTTATTTTTTTAATAAAAAAAAAAAAATGCGGGTATTTTTACGGATTTCTTGAATAAATCGACGCGCAGTGCATAATAAAAACAAATTGCTCTTTTAAATGTTTTTATTTGCTTATAATATCTAAATAATTTTTGTAATGCAATACGGTTTCGGTTTATCAAACTACAAAAACAGATATTGACTTGAATAAGAATAACAGTAAACAAAAAAAATAAAATAAAAGCCTCCTCGTGGTATTATAAGCGGTGCGTGTTCAGCGGAACACTTTTCGAATATTTGATTGGCCCTCACGAGGGTAACCGATTTATGGTAATAAGGCCCGTCGGTATTGAAAAGCGCACTGAAAGCGATCGGCCGGTGAGACGGACGAAGAAATAGCGGCTAAAAATAACGAATGCCTCGGATGTCGCGGTATAACGCGGTTGACAGGTTACCCGGACCCGCCTGGACCCGATAATAATATAACGGGACGGGCATATTGTCTTCATAAATTATTCGACTGTCCGCCGACTGAAATATCGCGTCGAGTATTCAAATTGAAAACGTGAACGCACATAGTTACACACTAAAGTGGGTATTTAACTTTTGAATTCAGACCTGCGGCGGATCTGTGCCGGCGAGCAAATACTTAAGTCGCCGCGAAACTTTACTGATCCGGAGAGAATTTCCACACGGGTCGACGAACCAGCGTACCAAAAAGTACCGCGCTGGTAAGCCGCCGGCCAGTAATCGTGCCGGAGACGACCGAGCGCATTTGAACTCGTGCGTTTTATCCCGTCGGACCGAGTGCTGTCGGCTAACGCGAAAGTTTTATGCGCACGCGGCTGTTAGGTAAGAACCGCGTATTCGAAGAACCGTCAAAAGTAAGGGGAACGAACGACACACCGGCGGTCGTGTAAATGAATAACGTGTCCGTGCGCGGATCGGCGCGTTAACATACAAGCCGATGTGTTATAAACGCATTATTTGTATGGCGTTGTACTTGAACGTACGAGCGGCTCTAATACACGACATTTGAGCGGACAACAGCAATGGTCCCGCCGCGGGTTCGAATGAGTTTTTGTTCGGCACGTGTATTTCATACAAAACTACAATAACGTTTGTTTTGATTTCGCGCGTCGGGGTAAAAATATATTAATTTATCAATGTTTGGACGACCCTAAACCGCGTTATCAACTGCACCCCCGCGCCCTTTTCGGCTTTCCTTTTCATAATGTAAATTATTCCGTCGCCTGACACAATTAAACCCATCATTCTTGTTTTAATTATAAAATATTTCACGTTGGAATAATTATTTTATTTTCTTCTTGAACGCTATCTCTTTTAACCGTACCTCCGGGTATTATTATTGTGCTCAGCATAAAAAACGCACAAAAAAAGCTAAGGTCACACTTTACCAACGCCTGCAATATTATTTTTCATGCGGCCGAATACCTTTTATTTAATTCTCCGACCAACTTTGTTAAGAATCCGATAAAATCAGTTGACTCGGAGTGANACGCACAAAAAAAGCTAAGGTCACACTTTACCAACGCCTGCAATATATTTTTTCATGCGGCCGAATACCTTTTATTTAATTCTCCGACCAACTTTGTTAAGAATCCGATAAAATCAGTTGACTCGGAGTGAGATTAATAAAAAAATGAATTTTATTTATTTATTTTTTTTCGACGGCCTATTAAACAGTTAATAATCCGTATTTTTGAGCTCGATGTAAACGTTTGCTCATTTAAAAAATAACAACATTTGCGTGATTCGATTGAAACGATCTCCGCGGCTGTAATTTTATTGATAAAAAGTTTTCGAGTGTTTATGCGCAGCGCGAGGCCTCGGGACGTTAGTGTCAAAAGCGCCAAAAACGTTAAAATATTTAATCTGATTTAAATTAGCAAATTTTGTCTGATACTGCGACGAGTCGTTTTCTGGTTTATGATTAAGTAAAAATTCGTCGTTGATTAATGCGAGTAACGATAATAATTGTCTTGTACACCGCCGATTCCTTTAAGTTTCTTCAATTTTAATTACTTTATTTGTTTCCATAGCGTGTACCCCCATAACAGTGCCCTGATTCTGAGTGTATTAAAGGAGAACTACATTTAATATTTGATAGATGGTTGATTAGAATTATACAACGATTGACGACATCTTCAACGTCAGTTATAATTATTGTCTTGCTATAACCCAACCGTCTTGCTATTCGACGGACCCCTAGAAATAACCGAAACGTTTAATTACCAAACGACTTACTGTATAGTATTATTTTTGGATCGTATGTCTAGTAAAATAACTCGGAGACAACAGTGTCACTCGATCGAGTTTTCTAGTTATTAAAGAATTAGTTTTATTAAAATACGGCACTGAGAGTAGGCAATTTTGCTACGGCCACGCGTTGGTTACTGGCGTTGTCTATTACTCGAACGACGCAGTCCATTATTTATCAGTGGAAAGGTCTATTGATAACACATTTCTGAGCAATGTGCCCGAGAATGTATACGTTTTGACAAATCTCTTGTGGCGCAACAATAATACTCGTGTCAGATTTAAACGCGCAAAGAGCGACGTTAACGAGATTGGAAAATCACCAAATACAATTGAACACAACTCAAAGTAGTCGCCGAGGCCTTACAAATTAATTTTACTCATCTTGATAGAACTCTATACACGAGTATTATTATGGCACGCCGTAAAAACATAATAACATTATACCGTCTCCCCTCAAAATATACATCACAATGGGTTATTATTACACTTCATCTGCTCTGGGAAATTCAATAAGCGATGACATTGGCTAATATGCATAATAAATTACTCTTACTGTTAGAAAGTCTAATAAGTAATATTTTGATAAATCGAAAGTTTTTCCTCGGTGCGGTTTTCAAAGGTATAATAAATTTGTCGAGACTGATTAAATTCACTGCGAGTCTGATAAAAACTTTTGGATTTCAGAACTATTTTGATACTGTTTAATTTTCCTTGGTCTTCTTTGCGCATTGTCATATACAGCCGGTGCCGTTTTTTCTGCAGCGATAAAACTCGTTCGACATAATAATGTTTAACGAATCATTTCAAAGGTGTGAATAAAAAACCCATTTGATAACGATAAAATAAATAACACCCTTTGCGGCCCAAAGGATTACGCGGTGGCCTGTTAAAACACACAACAATAATAACGAACGTTAAACAATGATAATAACACCGCCGAGCGGTTATTAAGAATAAAAAACTAAAAGCGGAAATAACTACCATGTTTTTCTTTAAAACCTTTTTTTCGACCGCGTTGATAAAAGCGTCAAGATTTTCTATATTATTAATATCAAACGTCCAATGCAAATTGTGCGTTACCTGACATTCCGTTTAAACTGTCGGCTTGGTGGCCAATCGCTATCATTATTGATTTCACTGTATTACATTATAAGGCCAATAGTGTTGTGATCCTAAGAAAATTCTTCGATTCAGCCGAACACTCTTTCCATCCGACCCGTCGGTCCAAATGGGAATTTTCATGTGGCTCTCATTCGAATTTATTTTTATTTTATTTAACTTTCGTATTGAATAATAGAAAAAATAAAGAAGAGTTGCCCATTGTCATTATTTTTCGCTTTTATTATTAATAAAGTCATTTTTTGTGCACTGGTATCACGAGATAATAAATTTAAATAATCTTAATAATGATTTATTGTCTGTGCCATTGAAATCGCTTTCTTTAAATCTTCAAATTTTTATGAGATCTTAAAGTTCTCAAATTATGCCAAGTATTTGAATTTTTAAACAAGTAAAAATTATTTCCTCGGTAAAAGTTTTATCGAAAACAGTTTAAGTAACTTGTTGACCACTATGATAAACGTGTACAGTCATTAGAATGTAATAACTTTTAACAGACAAAACGAATTTTTATTCTTATTGAATCCGAAGCGCAAAAGTTACCGAATGGTTAAAAATTACCGGGATAAGTTGTGTTTTTTTTTTTTTGCACTCTTAAAATTAGTTTACCTGTCAAGAACAACTCGTCCGCTCAACAAAACTAAACCTAACAATAAATACCGTGAGCCTGACAAGTAAAAGTCAAAATAATTTCGTTGCCAGCCGAAGCGATTCGCCAGATGTTTTGGTCTTTAAACTCGCACAAAGTGTTGTTTCCAGACTTTGTGTATTACTCCGATTAAATCGGATTTCGGTAACGAATCTCATTGTGTTTACACATTTTCAAGTCGTTTGATTTGAAATTCAAAAGCGTTTATGAACGTATTCCTAGTAAAAGCCAGTGCGCTGCACACACCGGCAGCGATTGATTCGGCTTAAAATGATTAATACTCACTCTGATGTGATGGTGTCTGGCGTACTTAGCGCTGACGAGGGGCGGAGAGTGACACGGTCTGATTTGACACAGTCTGGTCTCATTGTTGGGCTTACACGCTTCGTTAGCGTTCGACATGCGTCTCGAAAGGCCCAAACCACATTGCGACGAACAATCAGACCACGACGTGACCTGTTCTTCGCAATTCGGAGGGTTTTCCACTGTAAAAATATTACACAATATTAAACGGTATTTGATGAAAAAAAATAATTATTGTACAAATATTAAGCTGAAAACAAATTGTTTTGATGAATTTCGTACGTTTGTAATGTTTTGTCACGCCTCGTGTAGGATTAAAACGATTATTATTTTCGTTTGTTTTCCAATGGAGTGCGGAAAAATGGACCGTTTTGTTATTTATGTAAAACACGGCGCGCCCTAATCTCATCAATTGTTGCAAACTCGGTGTATACAAACAGGATAGTTCATCAATCAATTTCGTTTGTGTTCGATGTGCCCCGAGACTCATCCGGTCGATTGAATTCACCGTCGTGATGTTGTGCACGGCACAAAAAAAAACGCTTTTAAAGATTCATGAAACTCGCGGCGGTTTGAGTATAAATGTTTCATTGGACGCCATTGGCTTTATGCGTCGAGCCCTTGCACGGCGGGCGGACGACGATAACATTTAGCCACAAGACAAACACGACCACCAAAAGCAACAGAGATTTGGCCATGCGACACACACACTGTTACATGACTTTATACTCGCTCGTAAAATATTTACCGAATCCTTTGCCGAACACACATGCCAATTAAACGCTTAAATGCCGTCACGCCTCTGAGTCGACAGCCGAGACATTTAGCGGCGCCCAATTGTACGCAGGCCGACGCCGTTAAAACGTTGAAGACGGCGACGTGTTTATAAATACAAACGACGGCGTTGCTTTGTTCGCACGACATACACACGCGTATACGCACGCGTGCCACACAAGTGGTGCACAGCTTAGATCGTACGCCGAGAATGAATTATGCGCCAAAAACATCACTATCCGCTTCTTAACGAAACCACTCGATGTGCGAATATTAATGAAAAAGAAAAAAAAATGTCTAATTTTATGGCGACGGGTCGGAATTAGGTGCTGCCGCTTCGTAATTAATGCGAAAACAAATGCAATCGTATAAATTATAATAAATTTAACGAATCTCGGCCATTGCCCGCGCAGACCCCGACGCGGTTTTTCGTGATAACCGAATTTCTGTGGACGCTCGACGATTTAATCAAAGTGCGTGTCTGCAATTCATCCGATTCGGCCGTACCTGCGTCGGTAAACGGATCACACCGCGAGATTGGCTCTCGGCCGCCGACGATATTCGCCACACTGCCACACTGTACATTTGCATTGGCCCCCGTTTCGTGGCACGCCGACGGCGCACGTACCAAACGTGCTCGTCCCCCCCACCCCTCTCCATCATTGGTTGTGTGTATATTATTATCGTATGGCAAGATTCGCGGTGTCTTTTAAGTGCCTATACGCTCTTAGGGTGCGCACGGTTTCTAAAAGCTTTCTCGCCGTTCAATATGGAAAGCGGTGAGGGCTCTTTTGAAACTCAACATCGTGTCGCATTATACGCAGTGCCGTTGCAAAGGTACACGTCGACGGGCACAGAGGACAACGCTGCAACATTGATCGGAATCTGCGGGTGTTTTTCCATATTCTGCGGCACGTCTGTATGTCGACCTGGTTTTAAGCACAGTCGTATTGTTCAACACTGTCATACGACGTTTGCGAGCATTTTATTTTGTTTTATGCCCAAAGGCTATTAAAATTTATCGTGGAGACTCTCGTAAATCACGAGAGGATTAAATACCGTACTTTTTTTTTTTTTTTTAAGGTCCAATCAAAGCACAAGTTTATGTTTTCAGCGAAAACTTTATGACCTTTGAATTAACTATTATTACGCGTGCCTACATGTCGAAGACACGGCTAGTAAATATAACAATAACTAATTAAACTTTATGACGGCATAACGAAAATCACCTTTAATTTACATAATTTAAATTAAAATTAATCCTCGACAATGTTTATAGCCGCAATTAAAAGCTAATGTTCTTTTCATTTTGTCAGTGGACATTTTTTCATTGTTATCAATGTTAAATAATTTAGCAGCGGATCGTGTTAATTAATCGAGCGGTAATAGAATTTACTGTTGATTTTCAGAAATTATTATTCTAACCGTTCAGCAATGCATTGTTTTCAATCGAAATCATAGCTGAAAGGTCACATAATTGCACATTGGAAATTATTTTAGTCGAGACAATCGTCTAAAATGTATCTGTTCGTTGGCATTTCGCAAAAAACGTAAAATTCTACATAATTACACTCACAGTTGACGTTGTCACACATCCACTCCCTGCAACATTGTCCGGGCACATCGACCAGCCTGGGATGCCTGCAAAGTCCCTGGGGTGAAATGTTCTCTTGGGGACACAGTGACGCACAGGCATAAGTGCCATTCTGAAACAAAAAAAATAAAAACATAAAATTGAAGCCATTAACAGCGTTTGTAACGGACGATCAAAGGTGTAATGGAAACAGATGTTAATGTAATAAATGTCATAACTGGCTGTCGGCCAAGTAGAAATTCGAAACGGTCCGCGAGTAGTGTAGTAACGAGGTCGTACGGGGTCGCATAGGGTTGTGTTGGCGATCCTTAAAAGTATGTTAGGTCACAAAAGTATCATTTTGCAACCTTTTATAATTTAATGCTTTTACCAATAAAACGTATTAATATACCCGTAACGTGTGATAAATACACGAAAATGCCTTCAGCGTGTTTGTTTTAAAGAAACAGCCATTGAGTCGATTACAAAACTAATTATACTTATATAGTAACACGATATTATCTCTTTGGCATAATGTCAACAAAAAAATTATTAAGTATTTTATAGATAACTTGACAGAGTGCTTTTTAAGGTATACGGAAAATGTCATTAAATGTATAGGTTTTATTACTATTTAAATTAGAATCTTCTGTCGCTTTATTTTTTTTGAAATTTTGATTCTACTGGTATATAAGTTATATAATCTAATCTATTTTAACTTTTTCTTTGTTTTGCAATAAGAAAATTTCCTCCCTTTGAAAAGATGAGTGAAAGTTACTATAAACAAATAAAATAAAATGTAATGGAAACTTTTTTTATAGACAAAAAAAAAATTGTGTATGTTTAACTCAATATTTTTTTGTAAAAAAATTATATAATTTGAATGCAATTTTTTTATTTCAAAGGTATGAGTTACAATTATATAACACGTTGATGATAATTGATTACAATACGTTTCGAATTACAAAGATAATTATCTTTGTAATTCGAAACGTATTTTCGTCAAAAGTATTTGTTTCAGTTAATTGATAATGTGATGACTCTAACTATGAAAAACTATATACTTTGAAAACTTCAATGATAGTGTAATTACCAGGGCTGTAAATTATATGTATTTTTGTTAATTATATTATTTTTGTGCCAAGAAAAATATAATATTTTTTAATATTTTGAATCGTTTAAGTTGTGATAGAAATTTATACATTTGTATTTAATATAAAAGTAAGGTAAATAATATTTTTCTACTCTTGTTGTATTACTCTGATATTTTTTTGTATTACTAGTATCTATATTTAAAAAAATAAAGTTTAATTTTTGAGATGACACTACCTTGAAATTTCTTTTCGACTGCGGCACTGTTTAAGTTAATTTTTTAATTGGTTTGATACTCTGATTCAATACATTTCTTGTTATTATTGAAAGGACCTTAATTTTGACGCAAAATAAAACTTAAATATTAATTAAACATTTTCGTATCGAGTAATGTTTTTTGATGATGACTCTATTGATTTTACTAGTAAACTACTTAATAAAGTTATCTAATACCACAATTGACTTATACGATTATAAAATCATCAACGTAATCTATATTCAACATAATTAAATTTTTTAATTATTGTAATCGGTGGGTTAACTACAAAAGTTGTTTTATTTTAGTATCTCGTTACGACCAAAAAGGTTTTCATTAAGACACCCTTCATTGTTTATATGATACTGATAAATGGGTAAAGGCGATTTAATTACAAGATAGAATTATTCATCAACCCACCAACAATTAAACTATAGTGTCAGTGACATTAATATTTAGAAGTCTTCTTTACAATTAGGTAGCCTATTCTTGGTGAGAACTAGTATTTTCTCTGATGCCACTAAAATAGTGTGTTAAAACATAATGTGTTTAACAAAACACATTATTAAGAGACCGTAATAATCATTTTTTCTTATAATTTATTCTGAGAAATAGCAGTTTTGACATATTATATCAAAATTGCTATTTAAAGTATTATTTCAACGTCATAACTTATAATAATCATAAATTAAAAAATATTATTCATTATAATATTATTTCTGTCTATAATATTTATTGAATATTATTAAAGATATATTTAAAAAAAGAATGTAACGCAAGATATTTACTTTTGGAGTTATTACTATATATTATTTTTTATATATAAATCTAGAGAAATATTTTTTTGACAAGTGTAAAATACTACATAAATAAATTCTTAAATAATTAATTTTTGTCTTTTTCGAATATATATAAAAAAAGTCTTTGCATTTTATTACTATTTCTTTATGATACTTATTGGGTTTTATAAGTTTTAAGTAGTTCAGTGGAACCAATGTTATCACACTATCACCACTACCAACCGCTGAGTCAAGCGTGTATAGAGCTATCTTTTAATTTATTTAATTTTTGTTTAAAAATGTATATCTACCTGAAGAAATGAATGAGATTTATTGTATTTTATATATGCGGCGCTTTATCAGATTTAAAAAAAACCCAGCACAGGGGGGTCGCGAAACAGTGGTGACATGGCATAGTTGGTTCAAGTATAATGCTATCTGACAATGATTAAAATCACTATCAAAAAAAAAAAAAACGCTTCGATGCAAATCTTTAGATAGTGTTTAATTTTAAAAAATTGGTGTATTATTCCAAAAGCTACATCATCTGCTAGTTCCTTTTTATAATCCTGATTAAGATAAAGTATGTCGAATGAAAGATGTATACAAATACTACTTCTCATGAAAAAATTGTATTGATCCATACATTTTTTAAAAAATTATAGCATTTTAAAGTAAAAAATGTAAAATATAAAATGGAGAATTTTCACACAAAAATAGCATTTGGTAGCCATTTTCACCATGAAGACAAGTCCAGAGGTCAAATTTTTTTTTCCATAATAAAGAACATTACATTAGCTTTAATTTAAGATATATATATAAGTGTCAGACCTTTCGGAACATTTTCAAAAGTTAAGTTGAAAAAGTTGTCATTTTGAATCCCCCCTGTGGGCAGGTAAAGGGTCAGATTTATAAAAAAAATAATCAAATAATAGGTAAAGACATTATGCATCTATAAAAAAAACATTATACTAATATGTTCATTTTTGAAAAAGTTACGGCAGTTTTTAGTAAAAAAAATTGAAAAAATTTCGAAAATTAGCGAATTTTAAATTTGTAATTTTTTTGGAGGTTTCCCCCATTTACGGGGAACGAGGGAAATTTTTTCAATTTTGAAGGGTAATGTCTTCGACTAGATACGATTTGTGANTCCATTTACGATGAACGAGGGAATTTTTTTCAATTTTTGAGGGTAATGACTTTGACTAAATATGATTTGTGGTCTTTTGACGTATCGTTGAAAGAAATCTGTTTGGTGAGAGCTGAAAAAAATTGGTAACAGACACACAAAAAAAACACATCATAGTAAACATCGTCTCTTAAGTTAAAAAAAAACACAGATAGTACAGTGTAATTTTTAAGGTATAAAGTTATTTAAATATCGTAGTCGAATAGGTACTAAATTTATTCAAATATTCAATTTCAAAATTAAATTTTTACATTTTAATAATCTTATTTTTATGGTTCAAAACAGAAAATAGTATTAAAATCACAAAAATAATTAATTTTTGAAGATTACTAAAACTTTCAGTACTTTGTTTATTTATATTTTAAATTTTTACTTGTAGAAAAAAATTTATTTGTTTTTTCATTTTAATTTGTTTATAATTTATTACTTAAATGGTTTACAATAAAATTATATTATACATTTTGAACATATAATTTAATATTTTTTGCTATTTCAAAATATGGTTATTTTTAGATTTTTAATTATAGTTGTCGAGTAGACAGTCTTAGGGGACATAAGAGTATTTGTAGATAAAAATTAGCCAATATACAATATTAATTGAAATTTATAATTTTCTTGTAGCTGTGCACTAAACTATCAAATAGCACCAATAAAAAAAAATTCACTCTTTTTACTATCTCAAGATATTAATCTTGACTTAGACTAGTGTCAATTAATAATTTTGCCCTCTCAATCGTACGGTATTATATATTTATACTGTTCATTGGAAGTAATGAAGTTCTGTATCAGGACATAATACATATTGAGTTGCCATAGAAAAAATACAAATATAATTTGTTAAATATGATAAAAAAATCAAATTCCCTCTAAAACCCTTTAAAAAGTCTTAAATTTATAATTTCATAACAAATTTGAATTTAGCGAGCTTAAAATAATAAAGTTTTTAATTTATATAGAAATCAATAGGTCACTATTTAGTTTTTTAGTGCATGCAATTACGAGCCGTAGTTATGAAATATCTTATAAAACAATAAATTATTGAGTTCTTATTTATTCTTACTTTATACTGATTTTATGCAATTTGATATTTAATTGAAGAAATGTGTCATTCTATATTAGTTTTGAAAACTTTTTTGTGTTACTTAATACCATATAAACATACAAATAGAGTAATTACGCATATTATCTGTCATTCTCTTTTCGTTATATATTTTAAACGTATTACTTTTTAGGTTTTACTAAATTGTTATTTTGAAATTGTGATCATATCAAAGATCTCTATCAATCTAGGTTACACCCATATAGATGTTAAACATTTAATATCAATAAAATAATAATTTACTGTCTAAAATCTTATATTTAAGATATAATATACATATAATTAAGAGATTAATTAACTATTATTTTTTATTCGTAACAAATATAAAAGTTAGTTCTCTTAAATTTTTTTCTACTTAAAAATAACTATAATATAAATCTTATACAGTAATATAAATCAAAGTTTTAAATATAATTGTTTTATTGTGAAGTAAAATATCCAAAAATTTTAATTACTTTTGTTTTGTTTTACTCTGATACTTTTGTATTTTTAATACAAAAAATAATACATTCATCTATTAACATTTAGACATTTTTGGTATTGAAAATATCGATATTAAAAATAATTTCTTTTTTCTTGTTGATAATATTTCAGTTGAGTTTAAATGATGAATATAAATATAATTTTAGTATTAAGGTTTTTTTATTTATATTTTTTTGACAATGAAGATATTTTTTAATAAGACGAAATTATTATTACTCGTGATAGAACAATAAGGTCGTTTTATTATTATTCAAAATTCAATTGCAGACTCACGGCTTTTGGTGTTCCTTTTTTCAAACATAAAATTAAATCAATGATTATTGTTTTACAGTAAATAATATACTTATTTATTAACTTTAATATATTTTATTATTATTAGTAATATCAGAATAAGGCCTTAAAGTATACAATGTACTTTATGGTGTATATGTCATTTAAATGATCCGTTATGTTTTGTAATAAGTAAAAATTTTCTAATAACTTTTCCAAGAGATTTTTTTTTAATTTAATTTCTATTATGAAATTCTTATAAAAATGATAATGGTTATACAAACATATAGCTACTTGATTATTAACTGAATTATAAGTTTAAATGTTAAGACTTTGCTAAACAAAGTTTTAATGATTGATAGTGATGAAATTCAAAGATAATAAGTAAAATACTTTGTCAAAACATTTATTTTTGTCTTAGAGCAAGTTTTAAAACTGGATTTTGAATTTTTTTTAAATAGTTTTAGATAAATGTCATCATGAATTTTAAAAGCAATAAGTAGTGAATTATAGTCCATACAGATTAATTTTTTATAGAACACTGTAATAAAAATTCCTTTACTTTTAATATATATAGCAGTCACTAAGAACTAAATCGTTGACAGTTGACACTCTTTGACATCAAACTAAAAAAAATGTATATAATATTTACGACTTAACATTTACAACGTCCTTTTATGTTATGAACATTGATTTTTTTCATTATTTAAGACTATAAAGAGGGTTTTGCTGAGGTCAAGAGTTTATGTCTCGAAAAATTTTAAAGCAACATCAGAGGATAAAGAATTTTTTACATTTATGACACGCGTGTAATTAGGTCCATATACTTAGCAAATGATAAAAGATTCAGTTACCTGACAAGTGCACTGCGTTCTACAGTCTAGTCTGAATGTCTCCCCATTGGCGTAAGTCTTGTTGTAAACTGTGCACGGCAAACCTTTCACAACTGAAAAAATTGATAATAATTAGTTAAGTTCATTTATGGACTGAAAAATATTTTTTTAAGTATGACTCTAGTTTACGATAATTTAATTGGTATGTCTTGCCAAGTTGTACTGCTTTCTACAATAATTATATTGTAGTTCGCAGGCAATCTGCCAGCCTTTAAGATTTACTGTGGTTTTGAAAAGCCATTTGTATTACTCAACGTTTTAGTATTAAGTTACAGTTCTTAAAATCAAAGTTGTTTGTTGTCGTCATATCTCTCAGATCCCTTACGGACTCAACTATACAAGTATTATTGAAGAGATTTCAAGGAAGTGACCTACTACTTTATATTATTAGTCACTTATTTTAAATTCAACATATAAACAATACTTCATAGATTTAATTCATGTTAAAGGCACTTTGTTTACTTTTACATAAATAATTTTATTATTGCAAGACATTTCACTGTTGAAAATATACCTTTTTATTCCAAAAAAAACAAACCTTTAATTATAATTACTACCTAGATTTTGTTCATACAGGGATAAATAATCGAGTATAATTTTTATTTATTTCATTAGTTTAAAACTTCATACAACAGTAATCAACAGCACGTGTTTGTGACCGTGTTATAGCATATTATATGTCAAACTTTTTAACCAAATAGTAGAGTACATTAATTTAAATAAGCTCGTTAAATAAAATATCAATTCATACATTTTTTTTATACGTTAACAAAGTAATTTTATTGCTCGAAGCTTTATGCGTAATTCACTTTTTTAAGTACTTTCATTAAAGAAATATGATGTAATAAATTATTATAATGACACGCATTATCTTAATAATCATTTAGCTTTCTGGTGCTCTCTTCCTTTGGAAAAAAACCACTAGTATATATTTTTTACAGGTCTTTTACATTCTAGAAGCATTTTCTCGGCTTTTATCGTTTTAATATATTTCCATCAAGTAGTCGTTAAAATCATTAAAACTCGGTTATATCTGTTTTTTAGTAACGTCCACTATATTACTGCTGTACGACATCGTCTTATTTATGATATTATCAAACAGGTGAACGGCTAGATAAATTTATGTTGTTTCATGTTGCTAAACACGATTATGTATATATTAACGCCACTTTCAGTTGTAAAAAATGAGCAGTTACAAAGATTTTATTACTCGGAATGTTTTCATTTTGAAAATAGTAAACATTAAAGCGCCGTACTCCAATGAGATTTGTTGGCCGTGATTTTCTCAATGACAAGAACAATTTTCAACTATATGTTGTTGCAATACACCCCATTATTGTGTCACTAATATATTTCCATTGAAATCCAACTTAAATATTTCATAAGAACTCATTCGAAAGCTATCGAAAGAAAATTATTGTCTTGAAGTTTATTGTATTAATGTTATTTTCATTCGTTTTCCCGGCGCTTCAGTTATCATATTATTCATACGCGTATAATAATAATAATAAAAATAGGATTTGGAAAGTTATTTTCTATTCGAATGTAGGTTTACTCTCGTGCATACTTTTACATAATGCGGATTCGGGAGATTTCTCATATATTTGGGATTGACTCAAAAAACCCATCGCATTAATTTGTTACACGCCCGTAAAAATATGGTAGAGCTGAAGCGGTTTTAATTTAAAAACAAGAGATCCAAATACTAAAGTCATAAAAGTCGAGATAATTGACTTAACAATTAAATGAAATCTGTTTATAGTGCCCACTTTCAGTTATTTTTACGATTTCACAGACGTTCGCTACAAACACACTGGAACACGGCAAATAACTATTTTGTGTTTTGTCAGGCTAAACCATTTCACGCAAAGAGTTTTTTTACTTTATTTACATAGACTATCATAATATATTTTTTGACTAATAAATTGTTTTTCATTGCGTAATAATCAGTGATCTCCAAATGCGCAATTATCGAACAAATCAATGTTTTGTTTATCGACTAGAGTTTAAATAAAATTATACAATAATTTAATTGTCCATTCAAATTTGATTTAAAGTGATCGGAATATAACTGCTTGACAAAAGCATAAACACGATTTTTTAAGTGCAAATTCTGATTAATTAATGAATTGTATATTTAGTTATGATTTTGTTTTTATAATTTAATAACACTTTGAATGGAATAACTCACATTATAGTTTTGTTATACTACTTTAAAATGTATAGAAATTTGTATCATAATATGGGGTAGCATTATAACATATTTTATTAGAACTTTACTCAAAGTAGGATAATTAAGTAACATTATGTGTATTGAATACATTTAAGTAAGCATTATGTTTACATTATTTGTATGATACGTCTAAAGCAATTCAATATGTAACTTTACTTGAGTTATTTACTCGCTTAACGAGTGTATTTCAATTTCAACATTGATGAATCAATTATTATATAATTAATGTATCAATTATAATTAACACCGAACTGTTTCACACTTTATTTAACTGATATAATAAGAAAATTTACATTACACGAGGTTTAATGTATATTTTAGTGAAATTACGAAAACTGAGTTATTGTTACAATTAACATTATTTTCAAAGACGAAAAACTCATTAGTTGTACACTTGAGCTACGCATGAAACTTTTGTTATGCATATTTTTTAGAAATCATATATATTCATGAAAAGTTTTGAAAAAAATATAATAACCACTTGCTTAACATGAAAAAAGTTGTTATTTAACTTTAATACGTTGATTTTGGTTAGTATTAAGTATAATAAATAATTTTATAGGAAGGAATTAAAATATGAGCTGTATTATTTGGCAGATGTTATAAGTGTTTGGGGGGCGTTATATCTTATCTAACTGTTATTAATGTAAACGAATATACAGTTGGTTAAAAAAATAAAATAAAATATCTAATTGGACTAATCGGATTTTCCATAAGTTAACACGATACGCCAGATTTATGAACGAGATTAAAGTATGTGTACAAACAATAGTTTTTACTTCAAAGTTTACGATGAACGATTTTTTTTTTTCTTGAATAAAAAACATTTGTGCCCACGAGAGCAGTGATAAACATGGTAGTCTAATTAGATTTAAGCCTACTTATAATTTATCCAAGATAAAACATAAATTAGCAACAATAAACCTCGGCTAGATTTACAAACTCTTTACTAAAGATAAATTGTGCGTGCGTAATTTAGGGCACAAAACAAGTTTAGTATTATTAAATTTACAATATTCATGTATATATTGTTGTCGAAATACTTTTTGCACGGGAATTTATGGGTAGAATTTCCAATAAAATAGGTTTGAGTAATTTTGTATAATTTTTCATTATGTTTGTTCAACAAAAGAACCCTTGAAACCCAATAGACTTTAAATTATATTAAGCATTTGTGATTATTTACGTTAATCCGCCCCGAAAGAACTTACAAAGGCTTTATAGACTTCTACACGTCATGTAAAATGAAAATGATCTCGTGATATATGCACTCAATGGAAAGATAAAGTCCTATTAAAATAATTATGAAACCAAACAATGGAATTTAATTGACCAGCTTAACATCAAAACGCTCGTTGGAGGTGATTTGTCGTGGAAACAACAACATTTCGGAGTGTCTTGGTTTTCGAAAACGAACAACTCGGTGTCAATACACGAGTATTTCTAAACTCGCACGGCTTGGGAACGTGACGTGCACAGATGGCGTGCGCCGAATTCGAGCGACCTCCGTTATATAAAATAATAATAATAATAATAATGTGCACATACACATATTTCATATGCGGCAGTACGGTATTGTACATGTGTTTATGCATAACAATACGTATCTGGGTCGTGGATTTATGTAGGCGAATGTATAGTGTGCGTATGGACAAGAGAAAATAACATGGTTTATGTACTGGGGCTGAATAATGGCAACCGGCTTGATATAAGAGTTATCGCTTCATTACTGCAACCGACCACGCCATGTACTCTCAAACGTCACGGTAGTCGTATGAACCCCTGGAAATATTTGCAATATTGTTCCTTTATGCACTCCAGCGCCGATGAACGACAACAACACGAAACAACGCGGTCCAACACGTTTAATAATTAAAAAAAAAAAACGGCCGGCCATTTCGTAACCATCTAGAATGTGTTATGAGTGCGACTTTCTTTCGGTTTAATATGCACGACGCCAACTATAAATTGTTCTTGAATTCAATTAGCGAATGGTTGGCAGATATTTTAAAACGCGCGAGTTTTTATATTAATTTATGGCTTATTTATTAAGCATAATTTATAGTAACACGCATTTCATTTTGTATTTTGCGACCCGCAGGTACATTTGGCGAGTACACGTGTTTCCAGTTTTCCAAATAGCTGTACACAATGCACAACGGCGAGAAATTTAAATGATTGCATGAATAATATTTACAGAGTTTACATATGTTTAGTATGATCACGATAATAAAGTATACAATAATGTGGAAATCGTGTAGTCGGCTTGGAAATCTATTACACGCGTATGCGAAATTAGTTTGGAAAAAGATTCAACGCAAACATTGCCTGCGCATACGAAACGAGTGTTTTTGTTATTGGAAAATATGCATAAAACAAAAATAAATAAACGTCGTCGTTTCCTAGCTGATTTTCATGTCATAAAATTCGGTCACGTGCACTCGCTACAGTTTGATGTTTACGTCCAGATATAATTTCGGTTTTCTTAAGTTGGCACTTTTAAACGGAAATAGAACCGCATAATGGTAATAATATTATTATGTTTATGAATCGATAACAACGCACCGGATGTAAACATTTGCTTCGACGTCGTACGTGGATGATAAACGTTTACGACTGGGGCCAATGGCGGTCGTCTATCGGCTCTATCTAATCGTCGTTTTCCGTTTTATTTCCGAGTTGTTTACTTTTCACTATCAAAGCACAAGTACCACTAGCCTCACGAGTAATATTTGTTTCGAGAGAGAGACAGAGTGATGTTACATAAAATCGAACGGCGGCTGCGGCAACCATCGTTCTTGTTCCCTGGGCTCGTACAGG